TCCCCAAAATAACTTGGTTCTCCTGAAGTGCTGTACACCATGACGTTGGGGAAGGGCTCTCTTTGTCGCTCAACCTCAGCAAGCAATTTATTTTGGCTGCAGATGTGGTCATAAGGACACCAAGTCAACACAAATATCTCAGCCTATTTACATTTGAAACACTTGTGCTCATGTATACCTTGAATATTTTCCCCCCAAAATCATATGCAGGCCTTATGTATGCCAGATGGAAAGACCTTATTTACAGAGTGATTACCTTTGCGTAGAGTTGGAGAGCAGGGTCACACCTGCAGAAGCCCCACTTGTGATGCCATGTCCTTATCAGTCAATGTTGCCCATGAAAGTCTTGAGAAACTGTATATGTTGTGCAGTTCTAATACCGATTTTTCTGCAAAAAGCAACAAGCCTAATGTTGGATGCACTCTGAGTGTTCAGATGGAAAATTCCTAAACCTTTGTTGGATTGCCAAGATCAATATGCTGCTTTATTACCAACATGCTCAAGACATTCCTATTTTTATCTTGTTCTCTTTCCTTGTTGTTGCATTGTTTAGCATATTATCGTTATTTTTTTAATGAGTCAGTTCTCCTAGATGACTAATCTCTTTTTCCTCCTAATGTTCCTGCATGGAACCCATTGGGGGGTCTGAGACTCTCACAACCACTTCTTGTTTCTTCCACAGCAAAGGGCTCCTCAGACATGTACTCTACTGCTGGTCATTATGTACTGTAATATGTACTTTGAGGCTACTTCACTAGTATAGCCATTTAAAATCTGTCTGCTAGAATCTTTTCAACTGGGAAGGGTTGCTCCTCCACCCCCCAGTTTTAAAATATATAATTTAGTTTTATCCTCTTCAGAGAAATGCCAGACAAGCTGTTCTCAATGTCTCTTTCTGTAAAAGAACAGAATGCCTGAGGAGGCAGTGATCAGATCCCACGCCTTCACATGAGTCGCAATTAATTTGCCTCATCATTAGCCAAACCTCTTACCACTGTCTTATAAAGAAATAAAATAAAATAAAATAGAGATTCACCTGTAAAGATTGTGAAGCAGAAGTGGGGAGAGGGAAGATCTTGTTCATTATGGGCTGCCATGCCTTTAAGTAAAAATGGCTGCCAGGATAGCATTTTATCTGGACAATCAACCCTTTTTACTTCAGCCACAGAAACAAACTTGTCAGCTACACCTTAACCCTGAAACTAATAGGGCTCACTGGGAGTGCTTTTGGAGAGCCCTGAAAGCAACTGAAAGCCTCCTATTCCATTTTCTAATAGTCCAAAGAGGCCTTTCTCCCCCACCCCCACCCCCAGTTTTGGGGGCCTCTAACACTGTTGGAGTCTTCCTATTTCCCAGAATCAAAACCCTAATGAGCAGAGGCCAAGTGAGTTCCACACTATCAGTATATCTAAGTGAAGGGATATCTCAGTCAAGTGGACCTCTCTCACACAAGCAGCCCCCAACACACTTAGGCTCTTTTGTGAACAACTGCATTCAGGGCACAAGACACTGGAAGACTGTCACACAATTTCTGGAGCAGGGCTAGAAGTAGTGTCTCATCCTTGTGTGAGAGGATGAGGAACTGAAACAAAGTAGTTTGTGTGGCTCTTGATGGAAGAAGAGAACAAGAATGATGGGTTGAGGGGCAAAATAGCCACACACAAAAATCTACCAGTAACGTTTCAATTGTAACCACTACAAATTGTCCAAACTGACAGTGGCTTTTAAGGATGGGGGCATTAGAGGGGATGTTTCCATCTTTCTAAACAATCAGCCAGCATTTTGTTCTGAATGTAAATGTGTATGTGTGATTCTTGAAGGAAAAGATTCGTCCTATACAGACAGTGTGTGAAGATAATGGAGATCTTGATGAGGGGGGGAAATAGGACTCCTCCTTGCCAGCTGCAGATGAAGAATTTTATGAGAGTTGCAAATTCTTTGTCAAGCCATCTTGTCAAGTTAAAAGATTCAGTATCATGAAAAAGGAAGACTTCAGCAGGTATTTGTGACATCATGGCAACAAAATACTGTACACTACTTGGAAAACCCATCACCATGAATCCCAGCTACTGTCAGAACGACAGCAGAGTACTTGTCTGGACAGACCTTTTTGTTTCCCCCCTGCTTTGTTCCATTTGGTGTCACTTAGGCTGCAATGGCACTGACAAGATGAATCAAAGTGATTGCAGCATGATTTTCAGCCTGTCTTGCAGTTCAGTTTGATTTTAGTGATCACTCAGTGGATGTTGATTGATTCGGAGCTGCATTTTAGCTCACAGATCCCCTTCCTTCCTTCCTTCCTTCCTTCCTTCCTTCCTTCCTTCCTTCCTTCCTTCCTTCCTTCCTCTGTCAATCCTTTCATGGTTTGTTGTTGAGCTGCTTGTTTTTAAAAGGTTGTTTAGTGTTAAGAGGAAAGACAGTAGCTTTCCAAAATTCTTCATAATATATACAGAAACACATATACCACAGAAACATATGCAGTCTTTTATAGGTTTTTTTCCTATTTCATTGCATTTTTTTTCCTCTGCAGAGGTAATCTAGCACTAAACTAGTGTATCAATGCAATGACTCCATAGCATACACATTATATATTAAATTATATATATAATTTGCAGACACTTGAGGGATAGATCATGCGACAGGTGTTCCCATAGTCTCTGAACGTCATGCCACAGCTACCTATGTCAGTATAACAGCACCCCCACACATGAGTCCCCAGCCTTTTACAGAAGGAAACAACTGATCATACAGGGAAAAGTTCGCCTGAATTTTTCTGGCTTGAAAAAAAAAATTAGAAGCCCCTGGTGGCAGAAAAAAGGCCAGAATGATGCAAATTGGACTTTGTGTCATGTGATCCATAAAAAAATCATCCATTTTATAACTGAAGCAAATCCCATGATCTTTGACCGTGTGGTCTTAGTACCTCCTAGGTGCAGATCTTACTGGAATTTCTGTTCATACTACACTGCTTCTCTTTCCTCTTAAGTAATCATCATCTCTTTAATCTTCCAAAAAGCTTGAAAAAAATTCTTTCTAATCCTTCAAAAAATCTTTAAAACGAACTTGTCTGCTGGACGATTCACCTGCCCTTTGCTTTTAAAAATGAGCACTAAATGGAAAGCTTCTGATGTTAACAGACAACTGCTGCTAATCCACCTCAGAAATCAACTGTCTTCAAAACCACTATTTTAAACATTCAAAGAAAACCCTAGAAATGAGCTGTTTGACTTTTTGTGCTGTTTTTTAAAAGCTTGTTGTTGTTGTTGCTGTTGTTGTTCATTTAATTGGAATAGTGATAAACTGATAGCTACTCTCACAGCAGACAGCTGTTGCTATTCCACTTTAGAAATCAGCTGCCTTCAAAAAACAATTTTCAAAATGAAGAGGAAATCCTAGAAATGACTTTTTGTTGGATTTTGATGCTGTTCCCCCCCCCCTTCTTTAAATGGGATAGCACTAAATTGAAAGCTTCCTAGTGGAAGTTCAGGCCACATGAAGCCTGCCAAAGGTAAAAAGTGAAGCAAATGATTTAGTGGATGAAATCCTGTTTAGTATAGTAAGTTGCACTTGAGTAGGCCCACTGAATCTTTGGAGATGGGAGTCTCCTCTTCCATACAGTGGACCCTTGACTTACAGACTTTTTGAGTTACAGACTTCTCTGGCTGCAAAATTTAGGTTTGACTTGCAGCCTGAGAATTGACTTACAGACCAGAAAAAACCCAAAATGGAACAAAAACGGCCTGTTACAGGATTAATCGGTTTTCAATGCACTGTAGGTCAATGGAGACTTGACTTACAGACTTTTTGACTTGAGAACCACCTTCCAATACGTATTAAGATCTCAAGTCAAGACCCCACTGTATATTCTATTGTTTCAAGTGGGCCAGCTCTAGTCGTGACATAATACTCTCAAGTACGTTGCAGGAAGACTAGGCCTATCTGAATGAAGCAAAACTACAGAGGAATTGATTCACAAAACCTCCACTGGTTCAATGGGCCTTTTTGTTGTTGTTGTTTAGTCATTACGTCATGTCTGAGTCTTCGTGACCCCATGGACCAGAGCACGCCAGGCCCTCCTGTCTTCCACTGTCTCCCAGATTTTGGTCAAGTTCATGTTGGTTGCTTCGAGACACTGTCCAGCCATCTCGTCCTCTGTTGTCCCCTTCTCCTCTTGCCTTCACACTTTCCCAACATCAGGGTCTTTTCCAGGGAGTCTTCTCTTCTCATTAGATGACCAAAGTATTGGAGCCTCAGCTTCAGGATCTGTCCTTCCAGTGAGCAGTCAGGGTTGATTTCCTTCAAAATGGATAGGTTTGATCTCCTTGCAGTCCAGGGGACTCTCAAGAGTCTCCTCCAGCACCACAATTCAAAAGCATCAATGGGCCTAATCTAGTGCAATTGATTACACTAAGCAACAGGATTTCGGTCAATTAAACCCAATTCCCAGAGGTGGTGGTACAACCATGGAAGAACAGGTTTTGTTGTTGTTGTTGTTGCAGCAGCTGCAATTAAGTTTTGTTATAATTCGAAACGGCTTAAGCACTGTCTGGATGGTAGGAAAAATACCAGTATCATCAGTGCACAAATGCTGCATCTGGAGGAGCTCTGCGTTTGGAAGGAAGCTTGAGGGAGCCCATTTTCCCTGTTCTCCAAAAATTAATTCCGTTTTGACCAGTTTGCCCTCACTACCGCAACCCATTATACCCCACCCCGGTATGGGCTGTCATTCAGCAAACTACATCCACAAAGCACCATACTTTTAAAAAAAAAGTCAGATTACACTATTGGGGATGGGGAAAATATTGCATTCTTACCATTCGGTTTATTTATACTTCTAATCCTGGACACCATCCTCCTTTGAATTTAAGGTTGTCGGGCTTTAGTAAGCAGCCAGCAGGCTACACTACATGGAATCAGTTGCTTTCTTTTCAGTGAGGGGAAAAAATTATACTGTACGAGTAACAAACAGCCAACCAACGGATTACAAAAGCCTAAGGAAGTCTGAGGTCGATAATTTTTAATATTTTTAAACTAGCTACAAAATGTCAATCACGTCACAAACTGACAGGAGACAGAAGGAATTTCATATTACATGCGGCAACTATATTTAATCTCACAGTTTTATCTAGATTTCATTCATGTAGGTTATTTTTGTTTTGTTTTATTTTTTAAATTAATAACAGCTACTAAACATCGCAGTGATTTTGGTGTGCATAGCTCTAGGTAAGCAACAGAGAACTGTATCCTCAACAAACCACATAGAGGGAAGGGGGGAGAGAGAGAGAGAGAGAGAGAAAGAGAGAGAGAGAGAGAGAGAGAGCAGCTAAAAAGAGAAAGAGAGCCTTATAAAAATTACATTTCTCTGCAACATTTCATAGTATAGCCATTCCCTCCCCCCAAAAAAGACAGTCTTTGAAAGCAGCAGACAAACTCTGTATATTACACCTATTTCTTATTTGTTGATGCTTGCTTTAAAAAAAATCCTTGACTTAGTTTCAGCCAAACGTTAAATTTGCTGGCAATGATTAAATGGTGAGTGCCAAATCCATCTCTTTTTAATTTTTTTTAAAAAAATTCAACTCAGGGGGGAAAAAGAGTAAAGAACAGAAATGAACATGGCTCGTAACTATATATATATAGTTACTATATAAAGAAATTAAAGTGGCACTACTGCAAACTTGCTGGTATAACATAGTCCTGACAGTGTCCCAATACCGAGCATGCGAATATTTTTGTTTTCTTTTTGCTGTCGCTGATGTTGCTACTGCCATGGAAAGGTCTCACTTAAGTTAAGGAGTCTAAAAGTCTATTTCTCATGCAATAAATGCATAAATCACATCACTGTTTTTTTTTTGTTTTAGTGCAATGCTTGTTATAAGTTATATAATTCCACATTGTCTAATCATGAACTCATAACAACGGATGACAGCAATGGAGGAACCAAGAGAACACCAAATTCTTAAGTGCTTAAACAACATGACGCCCGAAGAAAAGACTTCTTAGGAGTAGCTCTGTGGAATGTTAACAGTTTTACAAGAACAATACTGTATAGTTAAAAGTTTAACAGCACAGTTGAGCATTCCTACATTTTTTGTCATTCAGCAAAAAACATCATAAAGTTAAAAAAAAATTCACTGACCAAAAACAGACAGAAAGAAAGAGAAGGTGGAGGAAAGGAGGGAGGGAAGAAAACGGAGGAAAAATAATAATTCAACCCAACAAATGGAGTGAACATTGTCATGAGCTATAGCCATCCATTCAATACTATATACAACCTTTGGAAACAAAGAGATCTGGAAAATAAAAATAAATTTACAAGTATCATTTTTGGAAAGCTGACAACTTACACAGGACAACATTTACAACAGGGGTTGGGGTCAGGGGCTGAACAGGGTTTGATATGTGCATGTGTGCAAACCTAGTTGGTAAATACCATGAGAAAAGCATGAAAGTGCTGTCCGCGGGGACAGTGTTAAGAAGAATCTGCCTGCACTTGCTGTCTTTAACCGCTGCCCAGCATCTTTGTTGCACGTTGATTGGCTTCATCAATCCTGGTTTTGTTGGAAACAGCCTGGATGGCAGAAAAAGGAAGAGAAAGATAGAAGGTGAAAAAGAAACAATGACAAATGGAATAATGGAAGATGCAAAGCTTGGGAAATCACTTTTAAAAAGTACAATGGTGCCTCGCAAGACAAATTTAATTTGTTCTGCGTTTAATGTTGTCTTGCGAAAAAATTGTCTTGTGAAACAGGTTTTCCCACAGGAATGCATTGAAATCTAATTAATGCATTCCTATGGGCAAAAAAAGTCAGAACAAAGTCAAATTTGGTTTACAAAATGTTTATTAAGTGCTCTTTAAAGCCATACACATTGTGCAGATGATTTAAAAAAAAATTAATAAAAAAACTTTAACTTTTTAAACATCATAGAAAAACATTTTAAAATCAGCAAACATGAGGCAGGAACAAAAAACAAAAAACATTCATCTTGCGAAGCACGGCCATAGGAACATTTGTCTTGCGAGTCATCAACCCCATTGCCAAAACCATTCGTCTTGCAATTTTTTTGTCCTGTGAGGCATTTGTCTTACGAGGCACCACTGTAATTAGCCACAGATACAGTGCTTGCTAAATCCCCTTTTAATCAGAAGTAGGCTCATTGAATCAGTGAGATGTATGTTAGTCTTGAGTAATAAGTTCCATTCATTTCGATGGGTCTCCTCTAGCTGGGACATACGCCAAAGTTGGAATCCCCCGCCCTCCAGGTAGTCATTTATCATTATTGTGATATTATTACTCAAAGATAAATGAAGCAAACTCATTCCAAAACATGAACAACAACAAAAGAGAGAGGATATTTTCAGAAACCTAGGACTAATCTGAGGCAACTAGAAGGCAAACTTAGGTACACTATCCATGACTGAAATGAATCCCTACTGAAATTGATGCTTCTGGTAGAAAAGAGCAGGGAGCAGCTCATGAACCTAGCAAGAGGGGACTCACACCCAAACTCGGATGATGCCGCTACTACAGACATTAGCAATCCATGGAACAGATTTAAGGTGAATTACAGAAGAGTTTCTTCTTTCCATCAGTGGGCAGTAATGTTTTTGTGAGGTTGGAAGAGCTACTCTAGAAAAATCCCAAGCCCGTTCAATTTTGGAGAAAAGGAGATGTAGACAGGTCAGCCAGTTAAAACCAATATATACCACTGTAGGGAATAGGACTAGATAGGTCTTGATCTTATCCATCCTGTCTCTTCTTGTTACATTCTTCTTATAGGTGAGCCTGCCACTGCCAGAACAGCCAGTGATAAATATAGAAATTCTATTGGAGGGTGATGATGCTAAACCAATGCTTTTTTAAAAACACACACACACCACAATAATTTTATTTAATATCTGTAACTATCAAAATGCATTATAGACAATCCAGACTAGAGGCAACACAGTTTTGCCTGTCGTTGTTATTTCTCAAGATATGCATCCTTCAAGCAAGCTGTTTTGTATTTTGAAATATATTCAAGGTGGCAACTCAGGTTATCTCCCTTTAAGGCACAAAATTCCTTTTTCACTTTAGAAGTCACTCAAATCTACTCACCTCTTTTAACCTTATTCACCTGAAGACACCAACATTATTCACCCTGTGCTTCCTTGTGACAAATGGGTGACAAATGTCCTTAAATCCATAACTTGTTCTCTTGTTTGGTCTTCAAATGAGCAGAAACTTCAATACTTTGCATAGCTTTGTTTCTCCAATAGCTTGGAAAGGTTACTTTTTGGGGCAACATCTCCCAGAATTCCCACCTGGCATAATTCATTGGAAGGTGTTGCTTCACCTACCCATCCGTTCAAAATTTTATTTCCCAAGCTCTGATCTCCTTGCTGTTTTGCGGTGATATACATGGGAGTGTCTGTCATCCAATGTTGACATCCTCAGATATCCAAAATTGTCCTGCTCTCTATAATCATTCTTCTCCCCCTCTTATCCTATGCCTTATGCCTAGAACTGCCTCTGAGAATCTCTTTGGGATCCACTGTCCTTATTTTCTTAAAATCCATCATGAAAACTCATGTTCTCTGTAAAGTCTTTGGAACAGCCCCTAGCCCCCTATTCCACAGCAATGACACCTCTTTACATTCAACCAAAAATCATCCCAGTGGAATTAATCCTGCACTGGCGCTAAACAACTTCATGGGTGGTGTGGGTTCAAGACACAGCTTCTTGGGCCCAGCACAAGAAACGTAGCCAGCAAATGGCAGTCAGCCCATACCTTCTCCATGATCCTGTCAATCTGGCGGTTCTGTGTGTCAATCTCATTGCCCATGTCCAGGGCCATGTGACGGAGATTTCCAATGATGCCACTGACTTGCTCAAGGTTTTCATCCATCTCACCTTCTCGGGCATCATTTGTTACCCTGTTGAAGAATGAGGGATAAAGGTAGAACAAACCATACCATAACATCCCACAGTCATTCAGGCCTGCTCGTCTTTCTGGCTCACTGAAAAGAATATTCTTCTTCATTTCTTACTGCTAAGCCCTGAAACTGTGCTTGTTAGTCAGCTATTTAACAAATATTTGTACTGAAGTGCAGCACACATGGCCTTAAAATAATGAAATAATGACGATAATATACACCGTAAAATGGGCACATTGGACATAGTCCCCACTGTGGTGTCATATCTGCTATACTTACATTTGCTATTCTGTTTGGTGTTAGGGTTTAATGTGTCTTTTTTAATGCTCATACAAAAGAACTTTATTTCCCATACTTGCCATGGCATCTCTCTCAACTTCCTAGGCCTAATATAGAGAGTTCCCTAAGGATTATCCCCTGATGAAAAAAGCCTTTTGATGGTTAGGATCCACTCAAGATGGTCAACAAAAATAAGCTATGGTGTCCGGCACGGTCCACTAATATTAGGCCAGTGGGTGTCATCTCATTTCCTGTCCCCATCTATACTTTACTTGTATGCACTGGAAAAGTTCATTAAAAGCCTTATAAAGAACCAATGGCTGCATAATCTTTATCTTGTTAGCAAACATGGATGTATGATGAGCTGCTTGAGGCAACAGGAAACCATTCATAGACCCAAGCAATATTGCATCTACTGCTGTCTCTGGAGCCACTGCTGCAGCAGCAGCAGCATTACCACCACTATCATCACCCCTTCCTCTTCCTCTACCTCTTCCTGTGTTCTGTATATGTTGTTATGGTTTTCTATACCCCGTCCCTAACCATTGGCTTTTCCAGTAACAAGCAATATTTTTTGAGAAACCACACATGGTCCAGCAGACAAGATCTGATTAATATATGATACATTGTCAGTAGGGGTTTGGGACTGCCCCATATCTTCATATCACATCCAACATCCCCCCGGTTACCGCCTGAGCAACTTGTTCCTTGTTATGTGCTGTCAAGTCAGAACCAAATTACAGCAACTGTAACAGGGCTTTCGAAGCAAGACATTTAAAGATTGACTTAACCAGTTCTCAGTGAATTTCCATGGCTGAGCAGGGATTCAGACTCAGCCCTCCTAAGTCCTATTCTATTACTCTTTTCACTACACCACACTTGTTCCTTTAGCTGGTAGAAACGATGAGGGAGCAGGAGAAGAGAGGAAAGAGAGTCGTGCCCCAGGCTGCAGTGCTGACAGAGTGCCTTCCATTCTTCTTAGATCAGGAATCATGGTGTACATAAAGCAGGGATGGTTGTGTGATCTCTCCCCTTCCTCAGCTCTTGGATCTAAAGAGGGAGGCTAATTAAAAGCCCATCTCTCCCCAAAGCTTCCTGGTTTGGACTAATTGGGGGCTGCCATCTGATCTGGTCCATTGTCTCCTAAAATTAGGGCATGGAAGGAGCTGAGAATCATTTCATATCATGAAATTAGTGATTATTATTACAGCATAAGCAAAAGTTATCCAAAATCCTTCATAGTAGCAATATGGAGTAAGATAAGCACTAAAAATCATCCAGGACTATCCAACACATTTTTATTTTGAAGGAAGCCCCATTGTATCAATAATACTAACTCCCAGTTAAGTACACATAGGGCTGCTACCTAGCAGTGCAATCCTATACATATCTACATAGGAGAAAACACAGTTCAGTGGGTCCTACGTCTGGATAAGCATGCATCGGACTGCCATTTAAGCCACTGTTTGTCAATAGTTTTGTACTGTCATAAACCCTTTCACTTCACCAGGACATCACCAGTTATTCACCTCTACATGAATTTTCTAACTTAATATGATGAACAGATAGACAGGAAGCATGGAAAGTCAGTGGAAATTTTTGAAACAGTTGGAATAATGAACTTGGCCAATAACAACCGGGAATAAACAGCAAGAACACAAACACTCACTGTAGGAGCATATGGAAACATTCTCAATACACCAGTGACAGGAAAGGAGGAGTAAAAAAAACAAAAACCCTCCAACAACCTGGATTTTTAAAAGAGAAGAAGAACTCCACAATGCTCACCTGCGGATAAATCCACCGCTGATGGCCATCTGTTCCCGTTCATCCACAACACGTGCAGGCTGGCTGGCTACAACCCCATCTTGATTATTGCCCCAGGCTTTTTTATAAGCATCACTTGATTTAAGCCTATGCAAAAAGAGAAGTTGAGTAACCAAGTACCAAACAAGGAGCAACGCCTCCAAAGAATACTCTGACTATTATCGTTTCAATTGCTGAGTCAAACAAATGCGTGTTTGATAAGGGGGACATTCTGGTATACCGATATATCATAAACCTGAACTAAAGCATTTTCATTTCATTTTGCTGCCACAGTTGTAATGCTTGCAAATTTCATTTCCAATGGAGTGAATTTTAATTGCCAAATTGGCAACAATTAAATTTTTTTTCTTGTTGTTGTTGGTTTATTTAATAGAAACAGAAACAAACAGAACTAGAGAACATTCAGCTGTATTTCATGACACACAAAAACTTGGACACATAACACAGAGAACGTAGTGCTGGACAGACATAAAACAAAACCGCCAAGGGTAGTGTGTACATCACATCACAGCAACACATCATCTTAGATGTGAAAAACACACAAACAAAACAGATCTGATCTGGCCTTCATTGAGCATAGTATTTCACGGCCAAGATTAGTTTTTTTAATGTGTGGCATTATGAACTTGTATCGCCATCAAAGTGGCCAATGTTATGAAGTTGTTGTGAGAGTTGTTGGCCTGTTGGCCTTCAGGAATCAAAGTTAGAGCAATTTGCTTAGATCTTTTAATAATATATCGGTACTTTGAAAGAATAACTATGCATTGGGAGTTGATGTACAAACCTTTGTCCACAGAGACAAAAAGTAAAATCAGGCCGGAGTGGGTTGGGTGCAGATGATTA